ACCCCTGCGGCAGAGTCCCACTATGTCAAGCTATGAGGCATAGCACCTGTTCTGTTTCTTTTTGACCCTTTGATTGCAGTGGATGTCTCCTAGCTTTGTGAGATATGGTGGATAGTTGTTCTATATTCACTGATCAGACGTATTATCTTCCCATGCCTGGCTGCTTCTAGGATTTTATTTTTTTCTTGAAGCTTGCAACCTATGGCCTCTGCTTACAGGCAGTTCCCACCTTCTTTATGCCAGCAAGTTATAACCACATGCTTGGTGAGCTAGCAGAATTCTAGCTTTTTTTATTGACTTGCACTAATTCCAAGGCTCAAGTGAAAAAAATAATTTCTTTGACATCACATGTCTGATAACTCTTGCTGAAAGGTGGACCTCATTTTTCTCTAGTTAAGCCAATGTCACTGTTACTATCTTAATGTTATTTTCACATTCAGATGGTTTAAAAGACGTCTGCTTGATGGGTATGACTTTGTGGCCTCCTTGGATTTGGTTGTTGTATGAACAGGCAAACTGGCTCAGGCAACCTACAGTAATGTCTAGGAAGTATTTTTATATGTCAGAATCACTGATGGATGTAAACAGGGTTAGGTAAAAACAGATAGCTTGGCCTTGGAAGTCTTTTAGAGCAAGGTGCATCTCCTCGTCCTGTGTTTGTACATCACCAAGCACAAGGGATGGTCTTCAGGGGTGATGAGCACTGGGAACACCGTCACAAGACAAGGAGTATGATTATGATTGAGACTATCAGAATAACAATAATGCCCAGATCTCATTGTGCCCTTCAGATATTGAACCCTCCTAATTAAAGGGGAGGAAAAAAAATAGCTTAACAAAGTTGCACAGCCAGCCTTTGAGTTGCAGTTTATTCCCTATGAATTTGGAGTGTCTGCTGCCTTTTAATGTGTAACCTTCCTCTCCCCTGCAGGAACAACATCTGCTGCTGAGACGAGGTGTGTCAAGCAGTCCCTGCCAGCCTGTAACAGCAGTTGGGCAGCCAGGGAACTTATTCAGAGCTCTTGAGGGCCACTCAATTATCATTCATTAACAAGTCTAAAGGTTAGCTCTTGCCAGCCCTCCATGTGCCAAACTCCTCCCGGGGGACACGGCCAGAAAGAAAAGCTTGGGGGATGGTGTTACCAGTCCGCATTTGAACCAGTAACAAGTGTGGTTATTGATTTAGCTGTTAGTATCTTCCAAAGTCTTTCACTTACCTATTGAGGACTATTTACTTGTCCTGCCCACTCCACCTCGTTGAGATGCCCTACTGTCCCAACTGACAGGGCAGAAACCATGCTCCTGAGAAATCTGCAGAGTCCAGGCTGCTATTCTGGCCTGAGTTAGCAATTGTGAAAGATAAAACGATCTGCTGGGTGTTTGAAGGTGCTGTGTGTCATTTCAATCCACGTGTGAAGGTGATAAGTCTTTGTCAAAAAACCCACCCATCGTCATTCACACAAACTAGCCAAAGGCTACTGTGAAACCTCGGCTGTGAATTTGGGTCTAAAGAGTGTGTGGGACTTGAATTACTTCTTTATTCTTGAAAGCACTTGGAATTCAAGTGTATTGCTCACCAGCTACCAGTATGAGAAACAGAGCAACAATTTTAGAGGAAATATTTTTCTTCTGGAAAGCAGCAGTTTGTTGAAACTAGAGTTCCAGTAAGGTTGCTCAAGACAAGGCTGGAGCTATCAGTCACTCAGGAATGGTTGGTGACTCAGCTGGGGTACTGGCTCCATGTTCAAGTCTCTATTCTGTCTAGTGGGGAGGGGAGGCTTGCACGTGGATTTCCATATGCTGCCTGTTGTCCTTGCTGCGCGGCTGTTCTGGAATAGTTTTCTCACTGAAGCTATCCTGTCTTGCATAAAGACCTTGATATTCCCTGGATGAAAGACAGTGCCTGCATAACCCAGCAGCATTGACTAGGACAGAAAAAACAGGTTCAAGACCTCAGATGCTTGCATGAAAGATATTCTCACTACAACAAGGCAGCACCACCACTGTTTCCCACCATAATCTTGCATATCCCAGGAAAAAAAAATCACAGGACTCATTCATTTCTCAGATATCAACTGCTGGGTGAGAGACGCTCAACACAGCCTTGCTGTGCCTCTCCTATGACAGAAGGGCACGCAGTTTAGGATGTCAGGAGATGCGCACACCAGGAAGGATGGAACAAGGCTTCAAAGGGTCAGGCTCAGAGCACAGATCTATTTTAGATGGCTGTTAAATTCTCCCTAACCCTGCTGGCCTTGCATGAAGCCAACTTGAAGAAAAACCGAGCTGACCTCTTCTTAACACTACCACCAAGTTCATTAGTTAACACTTCACCCTGTTGACACTCGCAGGCAAATCCCAGACCGGATTGTAGCCCTGTGGAATGCAAATCTGGCTATGTGCCTCCAAATGACTGTACGATGAGGAAAAAAATTCCACACCTGCAAATAAAAGAGATCAGTAAGCAAATTCCAAAGCCAGGCTGGGTAGCAATGAGATGGCAAGGCTTTAAAATTACATTGGGTCACAGCTTCTTTCTTCATGGCCTGGTTAGCTGCTGGTCAGGAATTGCTTTCTGCTGGTTTTAGCAGCTTCAAAGCATGCTGTGTTGTACAAGCAGGATTCAGCTTGCAGATTAAAACATCTAAATTTAGGCAGCAATGTGCAGGAGAGCTGTACACGTTCTCAGAGACTCTAAACTCCCTTTACAACCAGTGGAATCTGAAGTTTCAATGTGTTTGCCTAAACACAGGTGTCCAGTACCATCTAAGGCAACTCCTGGGTCTGCACCTTTCAATCCAATGGGCAAGGGTCTCCTAAGGGTCTGTAGCACTACCTGTGCCAAGCCCAGGTGATGTTGCAGATGCCATAAGTGATGTAGGGCAGCTTTCAGACATTACGGTGAAATTAAGCTCTCTCTAGGCTTTACTGCCAAAAATAGAAACTTAAAGTTCAAACTTGGGGACATTTGGCTCGCTTCACTTGCCTGATCTTAATTGTCTGTTGCTTTTGGCATGTCTTGGGCTATCTGAGACATCTTCCTGGAGCTGCCAGACATGACACAGATCTGCAGGAGATCCATGGCAGTTCAGGGAGAGCACCTGGAGGACAGGCAGGATCCTCCAGATTGAAATGCCTACAGGGCATTGATATGCCTCTTTGTGGTTCTGTGGGCACCGACATTTTTGTGTTTGAGTCTGTGAGCTGAAACCCACTCCTTGTAATCAGTGAAGCCTGTGTGGCAAGTCTGCAGCTTTGTGGAGGCTTTGGATACCTTGGTCATATGCAGATTTGTCTGACTAGAGGTGGCTTGTTTCCACCAGACTGGTGCACAGGCACAAGGACACTGGGGGCTCTCAGAAGCCTTGGGCTCTGCAGGTAGAAGCCAATTTACACATGAGCTATGGATCTGGCACATCTCAGACTTGTTTGAGTTACTTTTTATATATGTCTGGGATGCCTGTGCATGGAGAGGAGTCAGGAGAGGTGATGTGGTACTGCCAGCAATGAGGCATGTGAACTTGGCCATGGCTTAGGAGGTGTAGTCTCATCAGTCTAGTACTGACTCTTTGCTGGAAGCCAAACCTTCACCCAAGTTCAATGTGCTGTTTATCAAAGAAATGCCAATATCCCAACTCCCCTGTTTACAAGGAAACCTGGTGTCTAACTCCCCCTGTACATCAAGGCCTGTGTGTGCATCAGTCCTTAAATTATGCTAGGAGATAGGGTTAGACCCCCTGGTTTTGAGTATGAAAGAGCTGCCACTTGGTAGTAGAACAGTTTTAGTTGACTTCTATGAGTTGGGTTGTCATGAGCAAAGCCCACTGGCATAGCTAAATGTGACCGTGGTTTGGATATACTGCCCTACCTGTGCAGAGGAAAGGGATTGTTCTGCAAAAGAGAGGACTTCTGCATTTCATCCCAAAAGGTGAAAATTCCAAGCCATGGAGCAGCAATGGGTTATTAACACCAGACTTTCTTCTCTAGTTCATAAAATGGCCTGTAGGGGTTAATAGCACGTATGCCCTCATGGAGAAGGTAAGAGTGACTAAGATGTCCACAAATTTCTTATTTTTTCCTATATAAGCCAAAAGAAAGGGCTCTTGCTTGAACCAGGAGAAACAGGCAACACAGCTTGACAAACAAACTTATCTCAAGGGCTCTTTAATAAGAATGTTTATAATTTATTTCTGGAAAATATGCTGAGTCCGGTATGCTGAGAGCCCTCTGTGGTGTTTGACCTGTATCATTTGAAGCAAGGTGTGGGTGTATGTTTGGGGGGGATGTTATGTCTGGGGTGTCACAGTATGCTACTTGCCTCCCAGAACCTTCCCATAGGAAAAGTTCTTTTGTTGTTTGTAGGTGTGTTCATTTAGAACCGCTGTAGAAAACTAGACATCTCTGGAAGGTGATTTATATCATCTCAGCTCCATGCTTTACATAAATAGGATGAATAGATGGGCTCAACTCCCTCCATTGCCTATAAAGGGTCTTCAGGGGCTGGTTTGGAGATGTCTGGTCTGTGAGGGTCGAAGCTGGATGGTTTGAATGTCTCCTAAGTAGTAGCAGTTGTTTACCATGCACCATCTCTCAGACATCAGTAACCCCATGGATGCTCTTTGTCTTCCCCATGTTTGAAGCCAGATGCTGTCTTTTGGCCACCTTTCTTCACATTACATGTGGACTCCTGGAAGGAAACTGGCTCCCTGTCCCAGTGATGCTCGTCTGAGAAATGGGCTCATGGCAGTTTGAGTGTACATGTTTTACTGACATCTACCACACAGCAGGGCATGGGTTAAATGGCACCAAATCAGACGGCATCTCTTGTTCCAAAGAACATGGCTTCTGTCCTACAAGGACAAGATGTATATATTTCTTCCCTACCTCTCCCCAGTTGCATTTCAGCCTATGGTACGGAATACCATCCCATCAGAACTGCAGAACGGTTGGAAAAACATCCAAACACAGATTAAAATTAATGCTTTTTTTTTTTTTTTTTTAATTTTCATTATAAAGTTAACACATCTATCAAACTTAACTGGTAACAAAAAACAGTTACAAGACATTGCTAGTGTGCTGTCAGTAGAGAATAGGGTAAAAGCCAATGAGGTCACAAGCACAACAGCAGAGCAACAACACTGTCCCGATGAGTTATTTCCGCAAATATATTCTCTTACTAATATATACATTTATTCATAAAATAAATAATCATAAAAAAATCATCAGACTTAACAAAATACTGAGGAAAAAAAAAGGTGACAATCCTACTTTGTACAATAGCTTTGGAATTTCAGGTTGTATCATACATGCATTCTGTACAAAGGGGTGCTCAGGTGGGGTAAGGGCAGGGGCAGGTTGGGGAAGGGTTACAGACAGTGATGTAGCTCTGAACAGGGAGATGTAATCAGGCAGACAGTCTGTGGGAAGGGAAAGCAACAGCTGAAAAACCCACCCGCAAGAAGATACTTGTCCTTGACTTCTGGACAAGCATGTTTCGTACCACGGGGAAATCCCCTGTGCTACTACAGGGTTGTGTTTTATGCCTTCCACACTGCTAGTGGGCTTGTCAGACAGTCCAAAGCAATGAGAGGTCCTGTTTGGGCAGGTTTTGGCCTGGGAGTGACAGAAATGATGCTGTAAGAGACAGAGATAGAGTGGGTCTCCACCAAGATGAAGAGGCGTAAGACTGAGCTGCAGTCAGTAGAGGACAGGCAGGCAGTGGGGCAACTGAGTCTGGAGGAATGCTTATCAGTGGGAATGGAGGCTTCAGTGGGGAGGATTTGATCACAAACAGGAGGATTTGGGAGGTTTTGGGAGCCTGCCTCAGGAAGGCTTGGGCCTCTTGTGCTTTGCAAGTGGCAGCAGTGGGTGGCAAGTGCGTCAGGAAGGGTCCCTGACAAAACAGTGCCTTCCCTCAAAAACACGGGTGATACTCAGCTGCTTACTAGCCTATGTAGCAGATGTGCCTTCAGGCTTTTTGGTAGAGTGGAATGAGTAGTGAGAAATAAATAAATACTAATAAATAAGAAGAAACTTGGAAAAATAAAAGAAAATGAAAAAAGCATCTCCTCACACCTTCTCCACTCTCTACTTTCATGCAGAGCTGTCCAAGACCTCCCTTGGTCCACAGAACATGTATAAAAAGAGCAAGGTCTGCAGAGACAAAGTTAGGTGGAGAAGATGCTTGTGACTGTTGTGTCTCAGGAGCTTTCTCTATTTGGATGGTATTCACATAACAGCAAGATTTTGCCTGTAGATGACTTGGTGGGACTTGTCCATATTCATTATGTGCTCACCAAGAGGAACAGCAGAGATGCTCCCTTGGGGTCAAACCCATCACATACCAGTCAGTAAGTTGGTTTCAAATAATCATTCCTCCAGAATACATCCACCCTCCCTTTGATATGCTTGTAAGTCTGGCATTATGGAAATGATGCCTCCTGATTTATGTCAGTCTAAGGGAGAGCAGAACTGGGCCCACAGACAGATTTCCATCTTAGTGTCTCCAAAGACACAAGAGTTAGGCACCTGGAGTGGGGTCCAGCTCAGAGATTAAGACACACAATTGTAGATGCCTGCAAGCATGTGTCTCTGTGTGAGTTAGATATCTAAACACCAGTATTTGATGGAAACTGTCAGCACAATCAGTGGGGCCTAAAGAATGGTTCACCTTGCCCTATAGTGGACACTTAGACTTGGCCAGATGAACTGCTTGCTAGCCTCCACTGCCAATTGACTAGGAGATCAACTGAGCTGATCATGCACAGGCATCTAGTGCCATCTGGGATGCCCTGGGGTTTCTGAGACATCTGCATGTGGCTGGCAGATATGCCACAGGACTTAAAGGGAGGCCACACTCTTCCAGAGCAGCTGCTAGAAGCCAGCGGGGTACCCTGGGGCATCCCAAATGACTCTAGATGCCTATCTTCAATGATTCAATTCAACCCTAGACGCTATGTTTAGGCAAATGCATCCCATCATCATTGCTTGTATGGAAGTTCAAGCATCGACCTCACTTGTAGGTGCCTACATTAAAGCATCTCACTTTGTGTCCTGAATCCCAACCCCTGGTGCCTGGGAGTTAGATATAATGGCCTCATGTTCGTTCTTGAGAAAATCTCTCCCTCCAAGGTGGAGACGCATCAAAGACACCTCTGGAAACTGCAGGGAAGTGGGAGCAGAATGACTTGCCCAAGCCCACACAGCCACCATCAACATCAGGAATGAGGGCTAAACACCCATTTCTCACAAAGGAAGCAAAGGAGTCTCTGTTTCCAACCCAATGGACACATCTACACCTAGCAGTGGCTAACAGAGACCTGAGGCAGCAGGGTCCTGTCCCCTGGCTGAGCAGTGATGAAGTGCAGATCAGCAGCTTTTGTTGGAGCACACAGGAGAGGGCAGGGAACGTGAGCACTGGGAGTTAAGACATGAAGAAAAACGATTGAGCAAAAAGCAAGATGGATCCCACTGCTGCTGTTCCGTGAGATAAGGGAAATCTAGAAGAAAGACTTTCACATACTAAGAAGTCCCTACTATAACAGCCAAGTTTCATCTTGGAGGGAAAGTGGAGAACAGAAGAAATACAGCGATGAAGAGATGGGACCTCCTCCCACCCAGCCCACTTTCTCTCCCATCCTCTAACGACTCTCTCTACAGCTTTTCCCAAATATCTGCCTGAACACACGACTGACAGACCTGAGCGAACACCTCAGTGTGCCACTGAGAGCAGAGCATCGCCTTCTCAGCAGCCTCAGTTCTCTGCAGGTCTCTGGCAGAACCAGGAGTCATTTTCTGATGGGAAGCTGATACTGTTTGTCAGTTCTAACCAGGCACAATGGCTGGTGTCTGCAGGGAAATTTGATTTGCTGCATTTTTTTGTGGCCTTATATATCTTCCTGAAGCTTATCATTAAGGCATCAAGGGAAGGCTGGGGTAATTTCCATAGCACAGGACCCAGAACTAGATTCAAAACTCCCAGCTCCTGCTGTGTGCTCAAACTGTAACCCAGAATATCCCCTGGAACACCAAAACACAGATTTTCTGCACTGAAACCTCCCCTTGAAGCTAAAAAGTGACCCAGAGCTCATAGAATGAGGAAGTGTTTCTTCTGTATTTGAAATTAGGGGTGGGGAAAGTACAAGCATATGAACACACATGACAAATGCATTACAATCCATGGACATTTCTATAGCAATAGAACTGAATGCACTGAAAACACCCAAAATATTTCAGATTGAATTCCAGACAAAATTTCTTTATGAGGATTAGCTAACACAGAAATCCTGCAGTGCCCAGCTAAGATTACAGCACTTCTGTTTGTGGGGCTGATATAACTGGTGCAAACTCAGAGATTTCTGCACCAGATTGCATTTTGTGACATGGCTGTCCCTGCAGTGCTCTCCCAAGATTAAATCCTGACTGCTTTGGTTGTGCAAATAAAGCCCCTTGTAAGCAGTGGAGACAATTCTGGAGACTTCAAAAATATTTTGGAGAAGACTGTCAGTGCAATACATCAGGAGTCCAGTAATAGAAAAGTCATGCATTCCCCTCCCCGCATTTTTCTTTTCTCTGAGAAAGAGAAATCCCCAAAACCAAGACAACAAAAAGCTCCTAAACCTTCCATTTCTTTCACAGAAAGAAAAGAGGTGAGGCCAAATTCACCCCTCGCATATAACTCTGTTGACTTCAATGAGGTTGAATGCGGAACTGATGGGCCAATCAAACCCATCTGTTCAGCTAAAGGAAAAGTTGGATAGCAGCATGTAAGATGAATTAAATTATGTTCCTTTTTATTTTCATTTTTTACATCTGTGTTACTTGGCTGGATGATACCCTTTCCCTTTTCCCTGGTACTGCCAGGCACATCCCTGATAAAAACCATCTGCTTGAGGACAAACCTCACCACACGTGAAGAATAAAGGAAAAGGGTACCATGGAAAATGGAGTTTGAGCTGGAAATCAATGATCTTTTCCTTTTGTGGAAACTGTCACAAACTAATGTGGAGGGGAAATTTTTACAGAAACCCACTGCCAGGCAATTGAACAATTCAACTGTCTACAATAGGCATCTCGTGTCCTTTTTGGTACCCAATGGTCTCTAACGTATCTGCCCAGATTTAGTACAAATGACACAGGACTGTGGGAGTCCTATGGCATTGAAGCAACAGCTGCATCCCAATGGGATATTTTAGGGCACCTCAAATGTCACTAGATGCTTGTATTATTGAGTGTAGCCCAAAGTCCTCTATGTGAGGAAGGCCCTACCTGTTCTGAAAGACCTTGGAGAATCTGAGGCAGAAGGCAGCTTTGGGTTGTATTTAGACCATTCCCTAAATGAGGCCCATCGTAGGCGCGATGATAGACGGGGAGAGACAGCACCTCACTCCTCATTGACTTGGTCTTTGAGATCATTGCAATGGGAATCCTGACATGAGACACCAAGAGTAGACAGTGGAGTGGCATCTTAGCTTTTCAAACACATTCCCAGAATTTATGTGCATAAACTAGCAATGCCCCAAGTGAATTCTCCAAAGCCAGTGGAGCCAGATGCAGGCCTAGCACGTGTACTCAGCAGTCCCTTGCTTCCAGACTCCCTAGCAGGCTCTCCCTTTCCCCTCCACATAGTTAGGCAGAGACAGACCCGGGAACTAGGACCCTCAGATGCACCTGGGGTCATTAGCTGAATTCACACAGGCATTTTTCATAGACTTCTCTAGCAGCTGCTCCATCCCTTACACTATACAACCCCTTACTATTAGTTGATGACTAATTACATAATAACACCTAAAAAATATGCATAGGTTTTGTTAAAAAATCCCTCGAATGGGCTGGAAGTCTCCGAGCACTGAGCTCCTTCAAAACCCCAGTTTTGAATGGAGTACAGTTTCCAGCCAATTTCAGCTGATAATCAGATTGTAGCTTCACCTCTTTGACTCATGGTGGACTTCACATCATCAGACTGTACCCAGTCTGAAAGTTCATCATCTAGTATGAGCTCATCAGCTAAAGCTGGAGGAAAGACAGAGGTTCATCCAGAAGGCAATTTACCAAACCTAGCTTAGATACCATCCTAGGCTATGATGAATCACCTTCTGCACTTATTTGTGTCTTGCCATTGATCCTAGTAGAAAAGTAGAGTAGAAGTAAATTCTACTGCTGCAGTCAAAATCTATTTGTTCACCTTAAGAAGCAATTGCTCAGGAGATGCCTAGCTATTTTTGTTGTTTCCATGCTTCTCAAAGAGCTTCACATGCTAGTGATATTGAGCTTGGTTCTGGTGAAAATGCAGAAATTGTGAATGTTAGCCTGCTGTGGATGGGTTGAGGTTAAAATTCAACTCCCCCATGCAAAGAAGTCAAATCCTTCAACCCATTTCTTCACTGGCATGTTGTAAAACAAGGAGTTTGAAATCACTCTGTTTAAAGATATCAGGGTAAAATCAGCGGGTGTGGTCCTGCTGAAGTCAATGGACCGAGACAGAACATGATCTGCAGTGATCTGCATCCTCACTCTTGGGGCAGAAATCTCTGACACAAGTCCTTGGCATGACACGTCTAACATCTCTCACTGCAACTGCTATCACTACGTTATATTAAGTAAACCAGACTTAACTTCCTTTGTCTATTTTTTTTTCAATTAATGCCTTCTACCTTGTATGTTTTTTCCTTTAGTGTTTTCTTTCTTGACAGTTTGTGTTTGAATATTGGTTACTGTGGTAATTTCCCCCTGCAGTGGCCTCCTTCTCTATTTGCTACAATGATCAGATTTTCCTTTTTCCCAAGACAGTATTATAAAAATCAGCCATACTTCTATTCATTGGTTCATCTTTGTCTCTATTTTTAGTGACCTATTGCTTTTCATCAGCTGATTTGTGACCATCCACTGCAAGCAATGTTTACACATACAGATCAATCGTTTTCCTCCCTATTTCTTTCTTTGTCTCTCTTGATCTTTCCTTCTCTCCTTCCCTCCCTCCCGTATCTCTCCCCTCATTTCATTACAGCTTTTTTGCAGAGAGTTAACCGAAGTGCCTCCACCAATACACAAAACTTCCTCATGTCCTTGGGCACAGCCCTGAGACATAGGGTGATGCATAAACTGTACCAGCCTAGGAGTAGTCCTGAGAGACGCCATGACTCATGGAGTCAACCCTTGGAGGCATCATTTCCCCTGCTTTCTCTCTGATGGGATTAAGTTCTATTTGCTCCCTGTCTCTTCTGCATAGTCTCTCTCTTTCTGTTCTGGGAATAAGCTGACATGCTGGGAGAGAAGAGCCCTCTGATTTCACTGCACAGATATCCAGGTGTGAACTAGCTAACAACCATGATTACATTGCCTTACTCTTCATGAAAAGACTCTTATGGGTCACTGGGAGTTAGACCACAACCCATCTCCCTCCCTGAATGAAAGGAAAGAAAAAAATGCCAATCCTTAGTCCTTTTCCCAAGATAGGAACTCAAGGGTATGAGTGAGTCAAAGAGTTTAGTAGGGCAACTGAATCAGAGGCTAAATAGACTACAATTCCATGCTCGATTCACCACTCATTTATGCTGGTATTGACCAGGAATAACTCAAGCAAAGAGCAGAATTACAGTGCTGTAAATACCAAGGAGATGGGCTGAGATTCAGGCCTGATACCCATGTGGCTGAAGGAAGCCCTGATGCCTGCAGAAGAAGTGAGAGGTGTTTCTGTAAACTGGCAGTCCTGATCTGATACCCGAAGTAGAGCAGCGTGCAAAGAAGGGCAGTTGGAAGTGAACAGTGGAGACGGGGCAGCACTGCACAGTTGGGATTTGGCTCCGTGTCCAACCTCTGGGCTCATTCAGAGTCTGGATTCCATGCATTTTAACCTGGGCCACTTTTAGATACGGGAATGGCTGTAGAAATTAGGCGAGGAACCAAATTTGTCTAGAGTCTGAAACTGCTCCAACTTGCGGGGGGAGAGGGTTGGCTCACGTAAATTACTGGGTGACAAACAGTCCTTCAGAGTCATGTTCCTGACAGACTTGTGGTCTAAGGGTTTTGCTAAGTGCCCGGGGGAAGCCTGTATGGGGTGCAGAGAGTGGATGGACTAAGTGCACTTTCCACTGTTGGTGATGGTGTTCTGTAATGGAGTGGGAGAGATAAACACTTTCCCTCTCCTCCTCTACTGGAACGAGCTGGGGTGCTCAGGAGTCAGATATCCCACCCCCAGCTGCACTTCAGCCCGAGGAGAATCACCCTGCACCTCTTGTTTTTTCCGAGGAAGACTCGTTGGCTGAGCCACAGCTGGAGCACCATGTCCATCATGGGACTGTCTCCTCAATGCACAGACCGAGTCCTCTTCACTTCACTTATCAGGCACTGAAATTTTTTGTACCATGCACATCACCTGTGTGCCAATAGGGCATTTGCAGGAAACCATCGGCAGTCCTCTCTCTTTCTCTCCTTTTCCCTTCTTTTCTCCCTCCCTCCCACTCTATAGGTGTCACTGCATCCTGTGTCAAATCTGGCAGAAGCTACTATGCTAAAAAGTTCATGCGAAGAGCCTGTCCACTCTACAGCTCTATAATATATTTGTAGACTTCTCTGGTTCCAGGGCAAAAGCAAAGGAAAATGTGCATTTAAAAAAAAAAATCATTAACTTATCTGCTTTTATTTCTTTTGCTGCTGTTGTTGTTGCTCATATTATGCACAGAGTCTGGCCATTTGGGTATGTAGATAAATCTCAGAAAGTTTAGTGCTGCTGGCCAACACAGCCTCTCCCTGGCTGAGGGAAAAGGAGATATATAGGAAGATGCAAGTCTTTCAAAGGACACTTAATCACACAAGTCACTTCAAGTGGGCAAGAGCAGAACAATCCATGCTTTTGCTGATGCTCTTCTTTCCAGATCTGTGTCGTCAGCTAGTTAAAAAGCCACTGTCTCCTACAGGATGCATCATTGTGGCATAACTTGTGTGACTGCCAGATGTACCTCGGGATAGCCCAGAAGTCATTAGACCTATTCTATCCAACCAGTTTTAGCCTTTATTTTTTATTTTTTATTCTTTTAATATCAAAAAGTAGACTTCTCTCATGTCTGCAACCTCAGAGGAAGTAGGCTCGAATCCGTTTCTCCACTTGGAGCCCAGCAAAGGGTTTTGCCCACTTTATTTGCACGTGTGGACATCGTAGACTCGTATGCACTCCTGGCAGCGGACATAGCAGCACCAGTGAAAGATACAGTGGCACTTCTCTTTCCGTTTCTCAGTCCTCGTGTTGTGCCCGCGGCCGCAGCACAAAAGGTCGCAACCAGTCAATCCCGTGGGAAGTGACATTACAGATCCTGTCACGGGTCCCGAAGGAACCTGTCTCAGGGTTGGGCTCACAAAAGTTTGGAGAGTTCTCGTAGTAAACCAGGTCCTTCTCAGTTGGAGCCTTGAAGAAGTTGTATTTGGGCCTGAGGGTCTCGACCCAGCCACGGGATTCCCGGTGTTTTTCCACCACCATTTCAGATGCACTATCGTACTTGTCCTTGAGGTAGTCACCGATGACCCTGAAGTCTGGCTGAGACCACCAGCAGGTCTTCACTTCGCAGCTGCCTGAGAGGCCGTGACATTTGCACTTCAGATGCATGAGCTCAATGATAGACTGGAAAAGAGAAGGAGAGGAAAGGCAAAGAAGAGGGAAGACGTTAGCCTGTAATCAAAACACAAATCATTTTGCTATTTAGCCAGGATTTCCTAAAGAACTGGAGTGTTTTCATAGGTATATTTGCACACTTGTGAACAAGAACCACCTTATCCTTCAGTCAATGCACTGCACAGATACTGGGGTCTGAGGCAAATAAAAGTTTCACAACTTTATTATTTTCAGTAGCTATCTCTGATTCCCACCCCAACTTTAAGCATCTATTGAGTGCTTTCACTAAGGGCTGAAGTGATCTGTACACTCTAATTTTTATCTTATCAATGTTCATGTGTGAGTATTGCAGTATTGTCACCTAAGAATACAATTCAGATGCATCTAGGCAGAAAAGCAAAGAACAGAGAAACCTACTAAAACGAATATTTTCATAAGTGGAATATATAGCTATTCCACTGGAAATTAAATAAATGATAGATGGCCTGATCATCCAGCCCAGAGTTCCATCTTTTATGTATGTTTGCATGTTTACTTAAGCAAACAAGGTTCTAGCCTCTAGGCTATGTTCAGAAACCTGAAAAGTAATTTATTTTTTATTTTTAAGCCAAACGCACGATGTTTTTAAAAACATTTCAAAGAAAAATTAGGAGCACAACTTCTGATTTTGAAAGGCTCAGACTTCAACATAAAGAACTGTGCTAGAGTAGACGGAAAGGTGATTGTTGAGCTTAGAGGTTTGCTGTGTGCTCTCACCACTCATGAAATTATTCTAAAGGTTTTTAGAGGTGTTGCCCTCCAGTATTCTGAGGTGGGAGACAAGCCTTATGCAACTTACTTGATAATCTGCATTTTCAGGCTGATCAGCAAATTTCTGGGTACGTGAACAGACTAGTGCCAGCCTGAGTCCAAAAGATTTGCCATGAATCAGCACCTTGATGTTCACCAGGTGCTTTCCTGTGTTATTTACGGAGTATCACACGCCGCAAAGGAGGTTGTAATTAGTGATGAGAGAGAACCACAAAATGTATGGTTCATATAATCATGCTGAACTTAATCAAAGCTTCTGGCCTGGTGGTAGGGTTTGAGTTCATAACATGAAACATTGCCTATGGCTCAGGTTTAGCTGGAAACACTTGAGCATGGAGGCCTGGAACAGCTACCCCATGAGTGCTGGCATGGCGAGAATGACAAACATTATGCTTTATAAAACAAAGGATTTCAGATGGGACATTTGCTCCCTACTTTTTAAAATTTGTAAAACATCCAAGAATAACTCAATGTCAACTCTCTCTAGGCCTGAGATCACACGGATGTTTGTTCACAGCTCATTTTTTTTTCCAAGGACTCTCACTTTAAGGGAAATCCCTCCTTTCCACAGCTTCTCCACAGTCCTCTTTATCTCATTAGCTCTCCCAGTAACTACCACCAGCAATGCACCTTGAGGTACCTGGAATAATTTGGGCCAGTGCTTGAGGAAACCACATTACTTTTTATATTCTTCCTCACCGTGGACAATTTTTGTTTGTGGTGGTATCTTATTTTGAAAGATTGTACCCCCTATTTCAGACCAGCTGTCCTGTGGTGTGAGGTGGGGTAACTCCACAGGGGTTTGGCCACCTGAGGAGCTCCCAGCAAAGTCCTAGTAAGGACAGAGGTTTCCTAGCCCTGTGCAACTGTGCTTGATTTGCTATGTCTCATGGTACAGTTATGTGTTCTCCTAGGCATGTGTAAGGTCTGCTCTTGAGGGAACAAGACCACATTAACCTCTTTTGATTGCAGTGAGGTATCTTTTCTTCCACTGAAGGGTGAACTAATTCAAATTTATTGCATGAGGAAAAAAAGCTGTTATCTTACAGGTGCTGTGGAATGGTCTCCATTAGCAGGAGCTTTGCGATTTAATTTCACAAATTGTTTCCCATAGATTAAGTTCTTCAGGCATTTATAGGGTATTCTTGAGAAGAAAAAGAGAATGCCCTGTTATTGGGATTTTCCCACCTTACAAAGAAAATTCACTGTTTGTGAGTCAATCACTGTGAGGAGGGCAAGACTTAGTACTTTCAGTTCCCTTATATAGTTTTTCAGTGTCTGTCTGAAGTGAAAACACACTAGTTGGCTTTGTGGTATGGTCAATGTTTAATCAGGAGGCACCAGAGTCACATTCTCATTCATTTTCTCTAAACACTCTCTGGGAAAGAGTGTTGAGAAGAAGGGTGGTGCGAAATGCTTTCCCGCTCTTCCTCACTTTCAAGTCTACAGGGCAGGATGGTGGTCCCAGGGGAAAGGACCCTAAACCACTGGGCTCTCTGCAAGGGCTCCTGCAGGATTGCACCCCGTGGACACCAGTGATTCATCCTTCTCCATCCTGACGGGACTTTCTAGACAATGTGTCCAGAGTGGTACAAATGCTGGGGACTTCTGGGGCACAAGCTGAGATGTCTGTAGATTTTATAGGTCCATAGTATAAAGCAAGGGGTCTGCAATTGTACATTTGGGTACAGAAATCTCACTTCAGGCAGCAAAGTCCTTTCATAGGTTGGCCTGGATGCACATCTCCTGCCTGACAGTTGCACTCAGACTTGGATTCATTTCCTAAACTCAAGAATCTAATGCCATTTGTGAGCCCTGTGGGTGTCCAAGGCATCAGATCAAAGGGGGCAGAAGACCTGCAGACCCACAGTCTTTCCCAGTAGTTACCCACAGACAAGCTGGATGCTTCAGAATACCTTTCTCAGGTTATATTTAAATGTCTTCACTTAACCAGCTGAATCTTTCCCATAAACTGTGGTTCATTTATCTTAACTACAGATGCCTACAGTACAGACATCTCAGAGCTCTCCTGCCTGAAGCCAGGGGAGGGAGACAGGTATCATTCAGCTGAGCTGTTTCAAATGTCTGCTTTCAGCTGAGATGAAATTCCACCCTAGCACTGCCTGTTTTCATCCATTCACTGCAGAGATGTCTGTACAACTAACTCCAAGGTAGGCATTTACTCTGAGTGGATGAATTTACTTTTAGTTTCAATAGACCAGGCATAGAGAACCATTGACCACCTCTCTGAAAGAACTTTTGTGGGCCTCATGTCATCATGTAAACCAACCCAGATTTAGGTGTGATTATTGCCTCAGTTCCCTCTGGATGTTCGCTGCAGGTTTCTAATGTGGCAGGTAAGAAATCAGTAAAGGAGATCAAGAAAGTGAAATAATAAATGTCCTTACGGTCCTTCCAGCTTCGTTGTTGTGCCTGTTCATGGCTGACCGAGCATCTGGTCTGTTCTCCCGGGCATCAGCAAACTCCCGAGACACCATGCTCCCAAACTCCACATCCTCGCTGCAGCCTCCCCATTTCCAGCCTTCCCCTGGGGAGCCTTTGTGGCGAGTGTCACAGCCGCAGATGGTGGCTGAGCCCTCAGCGCAGGATCTGGTCACTGCAAAAGCCACTCCAGCAGAGGCAATGGCATGGACAAAGGCTGATTCCCTGGTAGCTGTGAGAGACAGAAATCAAGGAATAGTGGTCAATGAAAGGGCTATGTGTGGCCGTGACCAGAGCTGTGAACACCTTCTCTTGAGGGCATAGCAGAAGGCCAGGAAACTCTCCTCTGTGGTCTAAACACATGGCTTTATGGAAATGAGCTCCTGTGCAGAGAGGACCAGGCTTGATGCAAGCTCACTGAGGTCAAACAATGCGTTTTTGACTAAGATCTTAGGATGGAGCCATGGAAGACAAAAAGCAGTGGAAAAATGAGCTTCACAGGGCATACAAACTATATTATGCAGCCATTATGCAGTCCTTTGCTGGCAATGCAACAAGCAGCCATACACAAAGCTGCAATGTTGGCTTCAGATGTGTAGAAGCTGGGCCATGAATGCAGATCTGTGCTTAATGCCAGCCATCACCCTTCATGGTGGGACCAGCACCCACTGACTGGGAGAGCTGCTGATGGCTGGAAGGTGGAAAAATGTCAGGGTGCTTTGATACTTCTCTATCCTGACTGTTATGTAAACTAAATACGGTCCCCACACTCCACCTTCTTTTTCCTAGCCTTGCAAGCTCACCTTGGGACAATGTTCAAAATATAGCAACTTGCGTGCACCAAGTTCATTGGTTCACTTGCATTGGTTCACTTGACTAATGAAGGCTCCTGCTAAGGGGACTGAGAATGAGCTTTCCTTTTCTGCCTATTGCTGCAGATGTGGGATGGGATCAGCCAAAAGATTTCATAGTTAGGGACTGATGAGCCTTGGTCTCTGTGGAGACCTTCCTTCACAGACTTTTTTCATAGTTAGAGCTGGGAGTAGGAGGGCAGCTCAGAGTTAGTATGGCTTTCCTGGTTTCCAGTGCTTTTTCCACAATGTGCTGAAATGAAAACCAATCAAAGTGCTTTGAAAAAGGGGAATATACCAAATTATCACTTTTTTTTTTTCCTTCCAATTTTCCTCTCATTCTTTCTCTTCACTCACTTGAAAATGACCTTGGAGTTCAACACTACACCTCAGAAAACACCACTGTGATGTTTTTTGGCTTCCGCAAAAATGACATTTTTATCATGAAAATGGCTAGTCTCAAATCCTTGAGTCTGAGATAGTTCTAAGGTGGCAACTTTTCTGATAACTTGCCTCCCTTAACCTCATATGCCTTTACCCACAAGAGCTATAGGTCTTGCCTATAGACCAGGTAGCCAAGAAAGAGTGCTGCCTGACGCCTTTTGAATGATTAGGATAGTACAGCGAATGGAACCAAGAAGGCAGGTTAAGTTTTCAGCTGATGCAGCTTCACCAACTTCCACTGAGCTTTGCATCATCTTACGAGGTACCTCCATAAATCCTCTAAAACCTTCATTGGACCACATTTTGCTGATCTGAGCTTTCCCTGGGCATTTTGGCTTAATATTTACCTTCTGGATGCTTCCAGGTTTTACTAACACATGGACAATTTAATATGCCAAGCCCCAAATCCAACATGTTCTTGGGGGGAAATCAAAACTGCATGCTTGCAGAGAAGTCTCGGCTGGATTGAAGGCTTAAGCAAGACCTTTTGCAGTGCTTCTTTGCTTTGGGAAGACTACCAAACACAACAATATGCAAATCAAATAATGTGCATGAACTTACAAGCCGAAGGTATGAGCAATGTCCTGGAACACGATGTCAGTGCACACCGTGAGGTTAGTAAGTCACTGAGGGCTGGAACCAAAAAAAGGAAAATGCAGGAACCCTCAGTTCCACAGTGTGATTTTGAAAAATCCTTGTTCAGCATCTGTCCAGCCTGGAGGATCTCAGCTACCCACAGCTGTGACCGTACAGCTCCTGAGCTGTGTGAAAGCTTGGCTTTTGAGCATGAGTAGGTGAGTCCAGTTCTAACTGGACTGGGGATTTGGCTTCTTGCCCTTGCTAAAGCCCAGATGGGATCCTGAAACCAGAACCCTGGAGTGGGGGTTTGATATGGTGTCTCTGATGGCCAGTGCCTGGGTTCGTGAAAGGCAAAGGCTTCTCATAACGTCCAGTCAGACAAGCTGGTGGGATGAATCCCATCACTACCTGGCAGAGATGGAGGATACAGTGACCAGGAAACAGCTGAAACATCTACTTTCTCCAGCTGTGGCCTAGCTCATCTTGAAAGCTTTTGATATGATGTTATACCACAGACAGGAGAGGAAGATGATGATTCTTCATCCTCACCCCTTCTGCCCGATAGCTGTGATGGCTAAAGCCTTTTTCCTCTGCTCTGTGGCAGAGGCCCCTTTGGCTACTTGGGAAGGAGCTGCAGGCACTGAATTGGTGTCTGTGAATGCTGTGGAGATCCCACTGGCCACATGGCCTCACCATGCTAGAACTTAAAAGAAAGCAGCTGCAGCCACAGTGTTGGTACAGAAAGCCTGGTCCTGTGTGGGTTTGAGAGGGGTGGCCTTGGGTTAGGAGCCCACAAGTGCTGGATTCTACCCAGGTTTCATCAGCAGCCATGGTCTAAGAAGGGAGCAATGCAGAGAGTCTGCAGTACTTCTGCATTTACCAGGAGTTACAGTAGCACAGCTTTGGTTGTAGGTACCCATTTCTGCCCAAATCCCAGGTCTGTTACCTCAGCTCTCCACTGGTGCTGGCCCTTTCTGAAAGCCTCCAGCTCCAGGAGGGTATTGATAGGATTTGCCTTAAGAAGCGCCGACTATACTTGTCTCTCCTCTTCCCAGAAAGAGCCCAATGCCTTTTACAGCCTGTATATGCGGTAATCACTCCCCTGCTTTTGAAATGCAGCCACCCCTGGGGTGGAGTGCAGCCACCACTTAACAGCACACAACAGGAAGCAAATAGCATTGTATCTGATCGTAACTACCTGGGGAATGTAGGCAGGCAGAGCAAAGCTGAAATCTGGCCCCGGGCACTGGGGTTAGGAGTTTGTCTCTTGAGAAAGTTGCAGCCGATCTCTTAATGACTGCATGAAATTAGGGCACTGGGTTTACTTCTCCTACCCCTAACTTAAGGCAGCGAGTTCAATATTGACGCAGATGGAGGAGCGCCATCGCGTGAATCACGTCCTGCCACCTACCAAGTTATGGGACTGTCCTTCCATTACTAAGCAGACCTGACCCTGTTGAGCTCTGGAGAGCTCCCCAGGTTGTAGCCGGAGGCGGTGTGGCTGCAGGAATGGAGAAGGAGTGTATAGAGATACAGATAAGCAGAAGGAAAGCATGCACTTGTAATGGAAATGAGGGGTTATTAAGGTGCCATATAAAAATGCAAGAGACTTAGCAAAGATAACAGGAAAGTGCAGTATATTTGTCAGGTCGCCTCATTCCTCTCTGGGTGGTTCTGGTAGCAGGAGACAAGCAGCTCGTTATGACTTGAAGAGAGCTTCTGGAAAGTCATCTGGCAAAAGAAGGTTAATAGGGACTAATACCTGATGGGGCTGTTGATTTAAGAGTATTTTAACCACTTTGTTTTCAGTGCAGCACAAGGTCACCAAAGCTCTGGCTTCAGCTTGTTTAATTCCTGCCTGCTCTCAAGTTTCCCTGGAGGGCTTACAGACTTGGATGGTTCTAAGGTACCCCGTTTTGGACCCTTTTAGACTGGGTTGCCTATTGGGGAAAAGAGTCCTGAGGCTTACAGAGGGCCTTGTGGGATGCTTTGCATGTACCCCTACAAAGAGACCTCTACAAATCGCTGGACAATTCTGCAAATTGCTTCCTAAGAAGCCCAGTCTATGAGGCTGAGAGTGAATCGTCCACGCAGAACACCTCTGACTGCCTTCTGTCATGTTGCAGAAAGAAATGGTTGGGCAGTTTCATCATGAGAATTCAGAGGTCTGAGTATGAGGTGACCTAAGATTTGATTTCCTGCTTTCACACAACTTTCTTACATGACTTAGTCAGTCTGTGCTTCTGCTTCCTTATCCGTACACCTGAGGACAATCCTGCTTATCTCCCCAGAGGCCTGCAATGCTAAATTCAGTGATGTCTTCAGAATTGTGGGCAGAAGGTGTTGGAGCCAAACAAAGGGTCATCAAGATGTGGAGTGAGGAAGGCAAATGAATAACCACATAAATATTTGGACTGTCTATTATATGAAACCCGGTCTTGTACGTTCTGCTGCCCAGACAGTGACTTATTTTTCCTGAACCTTTCTCTCAGTGACTAAATGATTAACCCCAGGTCAGGCGGATATCCCAGATCTAAGGCAGGAAAGACAGTGATGAAGCAGAAGGTTGAATACAATGGTTCATTTTGTCAAAGAAATCTACAGTCCATTTTTACCACCTTTGTACCATAACACAGAGCCATGTTCTCCCTACTGTTGACACCCTAAATCTTTCCTTCCTCTCTGCACTGTTGTCTGGTGGTAACAGCAAGCTCCTGGGAGAGGGCAACACAACCACCATCAGATGTGCTAGGAGCTGAAGTTGCAAGTTCTGTGTCCTTGATCACAGCTTGAGGAGCTAGGCCAGTTCTAAGACAGGGGGCACTGCTGTTTCTATTGAGTTCTCTTTACCAGAAAGCAGTGAGATCTCTGTGATCTTAGAGAGAAAGACAAGAAAGGAAGGTGTCTTGTTTGAGGTGGTTCTGGGTTGCACATCTTGCAGGGAAGGAAGCAGGCCTCTGCAGCTTGGAGAACAGGTAGCCAAGCACTGGGGATGGACCCTGCTCCAAGAGCTTCCCACTCAGCACCCCACTTTTCTGGATTTCCTGAAGGTGTGGAAGCTCCTTAGCACAGGGAACCTTCATGTCTCCAGAACAGCTACTCACTGTGCTCTGGGGAGCTAAACCTCCCATGCCAGCAGCCCTCTACTCCCCTCCTGGGACCTAGCCACCATCCCTTTTAAAACATGGCCCTTGGAGTGAAACACTGACCTGGTGCCTTTTTGGGCTGAATGATCTATAAACAGCATGAAAAAGAATAGAATTGTCACAGATTGCCACTGGAAATGTATGACAGTGAAGGAAAGAGTCTCTAAATCTGAGACACTCCTCCCAGCGATCATCGCATCTCTGCTCTTGAA